CATCATCACCCGCATGGTGGAGCAGGACAAGGTGCGATGGTGGAAGAAACCGAATCTGCGCATCATGTACATCTGGCTCTTCTGCTGCTGCATGGGTGTTGAGATTACCTCTGGTTTCGACTCTCAGCTTATCGGCACACTTCAGTTTTCCGTTCCATTCAACACATGTAGGTCAAAACTGTTGCAGCTTTAGATCCACAAGGCTCACAGTCTCAGATTTCGGAGAAGGCTACAAGGACTCAGATGGCGAAGCCAGCATCGAACCCAAAATCATCGGTTTCATGTCCTCATGCTACCAGCTCGGTTCCATTCTTGCAGTTCCGGTCGCACCCTGGTTGAGCCAAAAGTACGGTAGACGCATGTCTATCTTCGTTGGTTCCGTCATTATGGTCATCGGCGCTTTGTTGCAAGGTTTTGCTCAGCACAGTACGTACACAACCCATCCACATACACAGTGGCGGCGTATCTAACGCATTATCAGTTGGGATGTACATCATCGCACGTATGCTGCTTGGTTTCGGTATCCTCTTCGCCATCGTCTCCGGTTCTTCCCTGATCGGAGAGTTGGCTTACCCCAAGGAACGCCCATTCATGACCTCGCTCTTCAACGCCTCTTACTTCATCGGATCCATCCTTGCCGCTGCCATCTCAATCAAGACAACCGAAATGGTTGGAAACTGGGGCTGGCGAGCACCATCTCTGCTGCAGATCTGCCCGTCCATCCTCCAGATTTGCACTGTTTTGTACGTTTCTCCGAACGAGTTAAGAGTTCCGCACTGACTTTACTAGCCTGCTACCCGAGAGCCCACGTTGGCTTGTCAGCCGTGATCGCGACGATGAAGCTTTCGCCGTTTTGACCAAATACCATGCCGAAGGCGACGCCAACTCCATCCTCGTACAAGCCGAGATGGCCCAGATCCGATCCACAATCAAACTCGAGATGGAGAACTCAAGTCGCTCGTGGATGGACATGGTTCGTACACCTGGTATGCGACGCCGTGTCTTCATCTCTTGTTTCCTCGGTCTCTTCACCCAGATGAGCGGAAACACTTTGATCTCGTACTACCAAAATCTTCTATTCAAGATGATGGGATACACCACCAAGTACGCCAAGACGCGCATCAACATCGCCAACCAATGCTGGAGTTTGATCAACGGTGTCACTATCGCCCTCGTCGTCACTCGATTCCGCCGTCGCTGGATGTTCATGCTTTCCGCTGGATCCATGACCATGGTCTTCATGGCCATGACCATCGCTTTCCAGCGTCTCCAAGTCGCCGATGCCAACGGCACCAAAAATCAGGCTGCGCAAATCGCCTCGCTCGTCTTCTTCTTCGCATACTCGCCCTGCTACAACATCGGTAACAACTCGCTCACATACACTTACCTCGTCGAACTGTTCCCCTACGCCCAGCGTACCATGGGTATCGGTGTCGAGCAAATGTTCGGCAAGCTCGCCGGATTCTTCTCCGTCTACGTCAACCCTATCGCTCTTGACGCGATCCAGTGGAAGTACTTTGCCATTTACTGCGGCTGGATCACATTCGAGTTCTGCTTCGTCTACCTCATGTACCCCGAGACGTACAACCGCACGCTCGAGGAGCTCGCTTTCTGTAAGTATACGACGAAGATTACTTGTATCGAGCTATCGCTAACGTATTTCCAGTGTTCGAAGACAAGGAGTTTGCCGACGAGGCTGTCAGAGCCGTCGAGAAGACCGTCAACCACGGCCACGACGACGGAACGGTTACCGAGCACGGCAAGATGGAGACTACTACTATCGAGCGCACTGCTTAGGCCGTGTTTTGTCAACAGTCATTCGCTGTCCATCAATCTTCGCTACATAGTGTACGCGCCTGAAGCTATTGTTGCTTCGGTGAATCTAAACAAGTTTCGCGTCCACGATTATGCGAACTGCCCAATGTTCACGTGCATCCATTTCTTTTGTGATTGACTTTCTCAAAGAGTGCGTCTCCTTAATCATTGTCAAAGAACAAAGAACGACGACACGCTAATATCGGAAATCCGATGGTCGCAACAAGCATACCAAGGTTGGTGGCTGTGCTCAGGTCTTGACGCTACGACACTTCGATTCGCCGCGCCACGGTAAGCGCAACCAAGCCCACGCCACCCGTCGTCCCAATCTTCAACGTCGTCATTACTGCCGTATCTATTTTCTGTACTTGCCAGAGTTGCTCCTGTTGTTTTCTTCGGGCACTACAGCAAGCGCATCAGGGGTGAAAGCAAGTACACATGGAGTGGTAGAGCGTAGTCACGTGACGCTGTGCAGCAACCGTGCCAATCTTGAGCATTGGCAAAAGATTTAGTATTTCACAGCTCAGTCTCAGCAGCTTCTTCTGTTATCTCCTAAGCCGCGTCTCTTACATTACTCTCCCGCTCAATGAGTACAACGTAGTCGTCATGACCAGCTAGTTCTCTTTCGCCGATCTCTAGATGCGCTTTCTCTGGGTCGACAGGTCCTCCTCTGAACTCAATGCCTTTTCCCCTCCTTTCACTATAGTGCATGTTTTGTATCTCTCGTTATCTGAGAACCTCAATGTCTTCTTCTTGGCCCACTTCAGCTTCGTCGTCGTCAGTGCTCTCATCGTCATGGTTTTCATCTTCGGAATTCTCGTCGTCCGTATCACCCTCACTGGCACTCTCCGAATCGCTAGTGACACCGTAGAGCTCGTACTCTACTGCCCTGAACTCTATCCTCATCCTGTGAAAGTTCCATCGATTCGCATCGGCGTCGTGTCTTTTATCGATCCTTGTCTTCCAGTCCACCATCGCATCACGGAATGTTGTGTAAACAGCATCGGTGCGGTCTACAATGGGTTCTGTATTCTCCAGAGCGTAGAGGAGGTACGCAACGGTCTCTCTGATTGGTTTGGTAGTGCATTTGCTGTGGTAAAGATTGAAAGCTTCTATATCTCGTCTAAAGTCAATCGGTGGAGTAGGTTGCGTGAAGGTAGACATCTGAACAAGCTTGTATAGATCTTACACCTCTTCAAGAAGGTTATGGGGATCAGTCAGCTAAGTAGAAACAAGGCTATGTATGAGGATAAGGTCAACATGTTTGCTGCTTACAAGACTTTAAAGGTCGTCAAAGCCGCACATATCGTGAACAATGAGCACATCAAAGTTCAATGCATAGCACGTCCGAATGTCGCAATCGACTAGTAGCATGAGATTGTATTCTGCATGGTACTGACAGAAAAAGAAGTAATGCAATGATATAGCGACGAGCTCAGACCGAGCAGCACAGAATGCAAACGAAACTGGCGGTTACCATGGGGACGTGCCCAGGTGAAGAGAGCCAACTCTACCTTTGCAAATTGCGCGTCGTCAAGCGACCTCCACAACAGCCTCACGCCTGCCTCAAAATTTCAAGAAATTTTGACGCTCACATACTAATCTGATCATCTTCAGACTCTCGCCTCGCCGATCCAATATCATCATGATGGATCTAGCATCCCAACTTCACGAGCAATTCCGCCTCTGCGGAGGGCAGACGTTCCTGCCTGAGAACGAGATCGAGACCACCTTCGCGGTGTTGTACGGTGCGTATTCTCTGAGTATTCGACATTTGCCTTGTCTGCACACTAACATCAAGTTCCAGGCGAGTCCACCGAGAAGGACCGAAGCGACTTCGACCTGCTGTTCCGCGGTCTGAACCAGGACATGTGGGACCTGCAGCACGAGCTGTCGGTGAACACAGTGGGGTGGTGGTGGGCCGGGGTCGCAGCATCCCGTCTATACGACCGCCTGAACGGGTTCATGGACAAGTGGGTCAGGGCATTGGCGAACGGCAGCCCCATCCTCGTCAAGGGCTTGCCTCCGACCATGCCAGGTCCGATGCTGTCGAAGTGGGCGAGCGACTACGTCGCCAACTCCCCTGCACCCTCCGCGCCTCCTTCCGCAACACCTCGGGAGAGCAGGAGGATCCCTGGGGAGACGAAGACTGCTCGCCGGGCCCGCACCCGTCGTGAGAAGCGACAGCGTGAGGCAGCCGCTCTGGCCAAGAGTGGTGCATAGTACGCTGGTGGGCGGCGCTGGCGACTACATGTCGGCCTCAGGATCAGGATGCTCAAGCTGTATAGACAATAAGTACACTACGTAGTCCCATATCATAACCGGACTTACCTCACTGTCCAAGTTCAAGCATTCACATGTGCTTCCCTATATTTCCTCGCTTTTCTCAACCTAATGTACTCCTCCAGTGTAATTTTCCGCACAGCTGGAATAGCTACATCCTCAGTGGCAGGAATATTTGTCGTACTGACATTGCTGCCTGGCACTGACTTCATAGCAATACTCGCAGATGTTATAGCGTGGGGCGCTGATGTCGTATCCAGGGTCGGTCCTGTAGTGATCGTCCGCTCACCGTCGCTGTCATGGATTATAACAGGCCCGCTCATATTGAGGGGGATGTCTGTTGCATGAGCCTTTGTAGAGAACAAAACTAGTCGTCTCAATGTTAGCATGGTCTTCGCTGCCTCTTGCTCTTGCTCGGTGTGACGTTCGCTTGTTCGATCAGGCCTTCCAATGCGGTGATCAACCCATCCCATGCGACTTATACTTTGATGAGATCTGGTAGTAGCAGCGGTGTCTTGCTGACAGCGATTTGAGATCGTGATAGTGGGAGTATTTGGTGGATTATCCGACATCTCGCCAGCTTTGTAGATTGGATGGAAGAGTTCTATGGGTCATTGAGGGCTAGCGGAGTCAAAGTAGTGGAGAGAATACGGCTGTTCAAGCCACTATATTACAAAGTCTGTCTAGGCTTACGGCGGGCTATATTCTCCCTACCGTTAGGCAAATCACTCAATCGTCGTGAATAAAATGGGTGGCCGCCTAATTTGCATTGCGTGAATTGAGTCACTTTTTACTAGATTCCAAAGGTGTGTACATGAACAATTTCTCTAGCAGTACTTGACCATCTTGTCTTCTCCCAAAGAGGTCTATTACTCCCATTGTTCAATACCCCAGAGCTCGCTCTACATATCCTCTTGCCCCATAGCCATATCTACGTCCTGCTGCGCTCGCGCATGTTCGAGTTCCATTTCTTTGACCCTATCGTCTGCAGCATTCTTTTTCGGCCGAGTACCAGTTGCCTTGTAGCTTTTAGAGAGGAAAGTCTTCTCACCAGCAAAATCAGCTGGAAACGCCTTAGGAAGGCTCGGGGGGTTCAGCAGTGCATCAAGCTCCTTCGCTCGACGTCCAGAAGCGCTGTCGTACTTGAATTTGAAGTCATTTTCCGCGGATGGCATGAAACCTTCGCCCTCATCCAATTTCAAGGGCTCAGGTGTCGGTTGCTCAGATTCGATGATCTTTGAGGATGAGTTCCCAGCTCCAGGAGCAGCGGCAGTCTTGTTTCGTGTTGAACGACGAAGGGGTGGACTCTCGCGCGGGGTCTCTTTCTTAGCCGAGTTAGTCGACTCCAAAGTCCCTCCAGAAGCGGATGGATTCATGAGTCTTTGCACAAAATCCATGCTCTCAGGATCAGCAGTGATGTCGCTGTTTGCCATCTCCCTCAGGATGAATGCAGCAGTGAAATCATTGTTGTCCACATCATTACCAAGTGTGCTGCGCATAGCGCTTTCACGCTCACCTTGAGCAGGATGTATGTAGCCTTCCTGTTGTTCGAGCATACCTAAGAAGGATAGCTGCCGCTGATGTTCGAGTTCTTTGGCTTGCTCAAGATTGAAAGCCTCCATTGGTTCGTCAGCATCCGGAGGTTGGGTCAAGCTGTCTACTTCCTTTACAACCAATATTCTGTCGTTTGTAATTCTTAATCTTGGCAGCTTCAGAGCAGGGTGTTGTCCATGGAGTCGAGGCAATGCTTCCTGCGCTTTCTGCGAAGTCAGGAGACGCCTGGACTTTGAGGGTCTCTTCCGTGTCTGCTTTACTAGGCGTTTCTGGGTGGGCGTTGCGGAGTCTTGTACCAGAGATTCAGCCAGAGCAGCCTCCAGCTGTTCCTCTTCGGTTAGAACTTGATCCCGAGAAACGTTATCCAGATTGCGCGTAGTACGTCGGACCCATGTGTAAGTTCCACCATGGCCGCTTCCAGATCTCTTTACACGTTGTAAAATATGAGTCGTGGACGTATTTGAAGGACTGACATCCTGTCGTTCGGGTAAAGCGACCCTTTCTCCCGCAGGAGCCACCTCTACTATCGATCTCGAAGCCGGATGGCCTGGTTCGGTCTGGTTATTTGCCCTTTCCTTTATAGCTCGCCGTAGCGAAGTACCTTCTATGAGACGGGGCATGTTTGGTCAGTAGTTGTGCGTTCTTACTAAGAAACAAAAGTTTAGAACATGGACTCTGGGCTTTTCAGGACAAGTGGTATGGGAATGCATTCACATGCGTACATACTCTGTAATTGCACAGTGCTGACCCCTAGGGCAACAATTGGTGTGAAACAGCTTGAGATATACGTTAGTTGCCCAGTATAAGCCCAGTCACATTAACACTTACTATGAATTGAAGGAATTGTCGGAATCAGGATACAAGAGGACCTGCGAGTACATCTCAACCCGATATTAGACTTTCATCTATTTCACTGCAGAGGCCTGTTTACCCAGATAATCCCTCAGCAAGTGGAGGTCCTGGATGACTGTCTTTGCTGCTAGTAATCATTAATCGTGATCGTTCCCATCACGATCACCGACTCTCAACTCAGTCCTCCAGGCTCCGCCCAATCTTGATCTTTCCAAGACCTGGGCTCCCCTTGCATAGTTCGTTCTTTCTGAATGGCCCTCTCAGGAAACGAATCAGGCCAGCCGTCTTTGCGCCAATGCTGCAACCTCCAAGTTGAGTGATAGCTGTATGGATCGTCGTGCCATTCGATGCGTGGCTCTGCATACTGGGGGTCTATGGGCGAGAGTTGTTGCTTGTTCTGGAACACAGAAGCAGAGGGTTGCGCTTTGGTGATCCCTAAAATCACCCTGATCTTGTAGTCGGCCTCCGTAGTTACTTCCAGGCGGTTGGCTTCGCGGATCTTTTCGATGGCTTCGTCGAATACGGCAAGGGCACTGCGGCGGTCTCTTGGTGAGCAGATATCGCTGTCGTGATCGTTTGGTATCTTTTTGGTGAATCGCAGTCGTTTCTCGCGGAGACCACTGGCTATTGTGGTAACAGGGTCGTCTTCTAGAGGGCCTTGATACTGGAAGTCGCTCATAGAGAGGCCGGTTTTCCTGATCGGTGGGGGATTTGGTGGAGTACGGCGACCACCTGAATCATGTGGGACGCTGAACGCTTTGGGCATTAGGGATGTATTATGGCAAAGCAATCGTAGGAGTAGAAGAGGCAGAGGAGGGTGGTAATAGGTGCGGGTTTTGAGACACAGCTAGGCAACAAGACTTTATAGGGTCAGAGTGGTATTAGATTGTGATCGCGCGCGATTCTTGATGAACGTGACTGCAGAACAAACGTGCGGTACTGGGATAGGATCACGAGAGAAGTGAAGCTTTCTCATGTTCAACGATTGTCGCAGTTTTGGGGTAAGAACAGACACCGACACTCACTGCCCGTTATGAACCTCTCAGGTCTTTTATGACGTCAGGTCCATTCCCAGAGCGGAAGTTGGACTCGTTGTCTCTTGCCCATAGTCCACCTCTTTAGCAGGTACTCAGTCCCACTTGAAGAACTTCTCGTCATCGTTGACCTGGTGCATGAACTTTCTATGAGGATATTAGGATCGCTCGTTTGGACCAATACTGCGCACTTACTGCCTCTTGCTCAGCTTCCGAGCTCTGTTTGCAACAGATCCCGTCAGAGAAGACCGCCTGACAGCGTGCCTGCTGAAGATCATGACGAGTGACCCCTTCTCGACCCTCTTCCCGGCCGTCTTCTCGTCGCTGGTGCAATTTGTCTTTTCGCGGAACCCAAAGCTCTTGTAGTAAGCCTTAGTACCAGGCTTGTTGAACGACCCATCGTCGAAGCGGAGGTCGGCGGCCTTGAAGGATTTCGCATCCCTGCCGTAGTGTTTGATGGGATTTGCCTGAGCAGGCGAAACGGAAGACGAAATGGCGAGCCAAGGCGCTCGGATTGGAAGTGCCACGGGGCCTTGACCTAGACCTGTGACATTGGTGTCAGCATCAGTAGTCGCCATGGTGATGTTGAAGAGGTTCTGGCGGAGTTGATGTTGAAGAGGATGGAGAATGCTGAGATCGTGAGAGACTTAACGACGTGTGAGAAAGTCAAGTGAACGGTGACGAAAATCCCTCTGCCGGTGAAAGGTGCTCGTCCAAATCAGGCCTATACGCAGACCCTCTTTCACAGCCATGCACTTACGAAGGGATCGCGACACCCGTACACCTTGTACTCATATCGCATCCTCGATCTATCTTGGAGGCTCAAGCTTGACCCAATATGAAGTTCTTCATTACGCACACCTGTCTTCAGCAGGCTACACCTGGCGCTTCCATCGCCAGACCTCTTACATGAATCAAATTATCTATTTAAATGGGCCTGAGCCGCTCTAGTCCGGATGGGGTGTTACAATCTCTTGAACTTCCTCCTCATTGTCGCTGGCGACGTGTTCGTCCCCCTGGGGAGCGCTGGTTTCCTACACAATGTTAGCGCCGCACGGACAGCATTAAGAGATACGACGTACATTTCTTTGCGGGGCGGAGGATACGAGACCGCTGATTGTTGACGGTGGCGGCGGAGGCGGAGAGGGTGGAACAGACACGGCGGTCGAGGTGCCGATCAGGGGTTGATTACTCTGCGCAGGAAAGGCGCCGAGGGGAGTTGGCCGCCCAACAGGCTGTGAAATCTGTCAGCTGGGCACCTTCATACACACTCGAGCAAGACTAACTTGTTGTCCACCTTGGAGTATTGCCTGGACGCTTGAGTACGTAGGCAAAGTCGTGGCAAAGGCGGTTTCGATCTCTTTCGCAAGACTCTGTGGGTCACCTTGTCGTGCCTGACTCCTGTTGATGATGTCCTGAAGGGCTATGGTGATAGCGTTGAGAGCTCCACGAGCTGACTGCTCAACGAGGGCATAGTCTTTGTTCTTGTCGTGCGCTACCTACTGCGTTAGATTGCGTCTGGCAAAAGTTTATCATTACTTACCGAGGCCATAAATAGAAGTGAGCGCAGTTTCGTCGACATTTGAAGTGTCGTCTACTCCAGGCTCGCCGTTGTCTGCAGCCTCGAAATGATCGTCGGGGCTGCTGTCGTCTTCGGGCTCGACGTGTTTTCCAGGCTCACCGCTTTCCGATTTGTCGTCGTCATCTTCGTCCTCTGAGTCTTGTTCGCTAAAGAACTCCTCGTCGAAGCCCTCATCCTCTTCGCTGTCATCAGGCGGCGGCGCCTCCGCCTGGGCGTCATATGCATTATCAGTGGCCTCGGACTCGTTTAGCCAGTCTTGCCATTCTTGACGGGAATTGAAACCTTCCTCCTGCCATTCTGGGCGCTCCTCTCGGGAATTTGTCGACTCCGAGCTCTGATTTGACATCTTGGCTAGACGTGAAAGACTGATAGATGACCCGGGTTGAATATATAAAGGAAAGCGTGGTATTGGTAACCATAATATCTTGCGTGGCGCGATATCGCAATCTGCAGTTAGGCAATGTTCGCAACTAATCGCTGTGTCACACCACGTTAGATCGAAGGCAGCTGATAGCCGCGTTAATGAATATACATGTGCTGGAAGGGTGACTGGAGTACATACAGGCTGATGCCTCATTAGGTACAACCCTAGTAGTCTGACTTGCCACAGTCTCTAGTTCAAGGTAGTGAAATCGCAGGGAGGTCAATGAATGACAGAATACTCAATCCCGTTTTAGTATAGCTATATGACCTGCAAGAAACAGGCCTGATTCGAGGACTTATAACCACCTTGAAGATTGGCTCGCGGTTTGCTACACTGAAGTGGATACATCGAGTAAACACTGATACGTCCATAGCAAGCAGATCCTGTGTGCCTGCTGCAAAAAACAGCAACCGATCGAGCGGTCGCACCATTGGGTGACTTTCTGACTGCTTTGGCATTCGCCTTTTCTGATAGATCGTATTGACGCAGGCGGACGTATACATCTGCTTGATGGTTTGCGTTATCGACGTGAGTGGCTACGAGGTCAGCATCGGTTCCTTCCATATGATCACCACCTGTTGCATCGCGTCTCAAATTCATCACTGCTTGGGACTGTATTTCCTTCAAGACTCCACAAGATCTTCCATCATTCACTTCATAGAGACCACCGAACAGGTCCAGGTGAGGGGAAGGTGCTCGCTTCGGTGTTATCGGATATACGGGCCAGCTGCTGTGAGCGTACCGTACACGCATCGTGACCGCGGAATCATCGCCAGTTTGGGCTGCAGAATCTATACTGAGTACCGGAGCTGATGGAATGTGACGAGGAAGAGAGGGATCGCAGACGCAGGGAGTCGTAGCGGCGATCAGCTGATCGTCGGAGATTGCCAGCTGTTCCTCCGATACATCGCCAAGAGGGCAGGAACGCCTCATGCGGCGTCTCTCGCCGTTGCACTATGTAGTTCGCGTCTTGAATGAGGGTGTCTTTGTCGATGCTGTAGATACTGGTCTCAAAGCCATGCTACGCTGATGCCCCGCGACGCGTGTCCCTCAGCAATACGAGGCCGCGCCACACCAGGCCTGTTCCACGCGTCTCGGTCGGGCCTAGGCTCCCCTGAATGCGGGCGGACGTTCGCAACGCGCTTTTTCTCAAACATCGATCGGGCCATTGCGATGGGGTGAAACACGTTGTGGCCATCTTCGATCTTGATCTCTGTACTCTCCCTTAGCTACTAATCCGACAGATGCCACACAGCAAACGCTAGCGACCATGTCGTCTTACCGGAAGCACATGCCGCGCCCGGCCCGCCTCGTCTTCAGCGTCATCCTCATATATGCCTTCTTCTGGGTCAAGGGCTGGCCGCGCACCTACGACGACGAAGAGCTCCCGCCGAGCAAGCGCCCGCAGCAAGAGTCGAACCTCGGCCCGCACCAGGTCGACCATGACCAGCTCGTCGTCGCCGTCACCACGACCGCAAACGACGTCTACAACAAAGTCACGCCTCTCATCCTCAACACCAACGAACAAGACCACGGCACGCTCCTGCTGTTTTCGGACCTACAAACCCAGATCGGAAGATGGCCCGTCTTCGACGTCATCTGGCGCTACAAATCCGACTTCATCCAGAAGACGAAGCAGCTGGAGCGATACCGCGCTCAGGTCGACTATGCGCGGAGGAGCATACCCCTGGCCAAGTTGAAGAAGGAGGACCCAGAAGAAGAGAAGAGGGAGATGGAGATCCTGGACAAGTACAAGATACTCGAGACAATGGCGTCTGCGTGGGAGTACAGGCCAGACCGCAGCTGGTATGTCTTCGCCGGCGATGAGACCTACGTCAACAGGCCAAACCTACTCGACTGGCTGAGTCAACACGACCCAGACGCGAAGCACTTCTTTGGCAACCCACCTGCCCCAGCGACGGCGCGCGTCCCCGATCCCTTCGCCGCCGGAGGCACGTCGTTCATCCTCTCGCGAGGAGTCATGCTGGAGCTGTTCAAGAAGCGCAAAGACTTTATCCAGAACTGGCGGGAGCAGATCGCGGACCACACGACAGCTTTCGACCTCGTCGCCAGCGCGCTGCAGGCCGAGGTAAAAATCACCTTTACCACAGTCTGGCCCAGCATCTCTGGATTCGACCCAAGCACTGTGCCTTTCTCGCCTGCCATATGGTGTGAGCCTATCTTGTTGATGCACCACATCACACCGGACATCGGCAGCGATCTGCTCAGATTGGAGAAGGACCGACCCTCGGACCAGCCCACCCTGCGCTTTGCAGATCTGTGGTATCGCTTCATGACCCCGGAAGATTTGAACTATACACGCAATGACTGGGACAATCTGTCCTCCGAATCCTCGAACAACCGATGGAACATCCTTTTCCAAGGCGGCGAACATCAGGACGCGGATCGCGCTGGGAACGGAGAAGCGTCGCCAGAGGCATGCCAAGAGTCCTGCGACAACAGCAAATACTGCGTCCAGTGGTCCTACTCCTCGGTTAATCAGAGGAATTGGAACGAGAACCCGCCGACTAAGTGTCACCTTAGCAGCAGTGTACGCTTTGGGACACACAAGGAGCCACAAAAATTAAATATCGATGGAGAAAGGGTCACACTCACCTGGAAAAGCGGATGGAAGAAGGACAAGTTCAGTAAATGGACCAAGCAGCAAAGGTGCAAGGAGCAACAGCAGTAGCTCCGTAGTCTCGTCGTTTTTAGCGTTCTAGCGGTATTCTTATCTCTCAAATCTCAGCCCGGCTGTGTTCCTATCTCCAGTGCTTCTTGTAGTTTGGCCAAGCCCGCTTCAGTTCCGCCTCAATCCGCTCACCCCAGCTCTCCTGCCTGGTCTTGACTACGATCAGGAGCCGTTGCAGGATGTGTGCAACCTTGACTTCATCGACCCCAGCACCCAGGCCCCTCATCACCGCGCCCACCGTGACGTCCGTCTCGTCTCCAGAACCCACGTTGTCTTCGACATCGCCATCATGCGAACTCAAGGCCTTTCCGACGTTCCTCTCCACATCGCCATCCAGTCCAGAAACCACAGGCTCATCCTCCAGGACCCCGAGGCCCAGACCAACTTTCCTCGAAGCCATCTCCAGATCTTGGAACCAACCCTTCTTCGCATTCACCACGTCTGCATACCCGGCGGCGACGAAGTAGAATCCGCACAGTGCCTTCAAATTATGCAGACCCGGGCGCTCGACATTCTCTTGCAGATGCGCCCAAATGCTTGTCAGGGCGACGCGCTCGTTATCGCGTCGTGAGAGACTGATGCTGCGGCGGAAGAGCTGGATATTGCCCTCGCTTGTCATGTATGCCGAGACTTTGTGTGTGAGGCCGTCGACGACAATGTGACCGAGGAAGAGGGAGTGCGAGGAGAAGCCGACACGGTCGTAGTCAGGCCGCTCCCAGGGCATGTCGTCGACATCAAGGAGCGCGTTGTAGGCGTCAGGGAAGCTTTCTTCCGCGATCTTGACGATTTCATCGTAGATGTAGGCGCCCGGGGGCTGTGTTTTCGCGCTTGGGGCCATCGTGGAAGGTATGTAGTTGGTAAAAGGATGGCAGAAGCTGAGGTCAAAGGTCAAAAACAATAGAGCTAGTAAATCTCAATTCGAAGTCACGGTGAGTTGCGTTTGCAGTGTGACATCATTGCCGCATTTGGTCTAAAAAGTGAAGGTGAAAGCGCATTCTGGGGAGCAAAAAAGAGCAAAAAGTTAAACCTAGTGGAAGTATCTCCATAAGATCGCACTTTAGGGGTATCGAACTGCGAGCCGATAGAGAGCTTTTTGAATCAGTGGTAGTATCGCCATAGACGGCTCACTCTCAGCTATGTGTGCTGTTCGATGGGAGATTTCAGATTTAAATTGTATACATAACTATTTCGATAGGAATGGTGATTCAACTGCCTGAGCCTCATACGCTGTCGCAATAAACGCGTAAATACACAACCACTAGATAGGACGTCATTCAAGAATGCCATAGAAGATGTCGCACGCGAGTACTCCAGTGCACGTGCACGTGTTCACGCTAGCGGCAGTGGACCGCCTGATCCTTCCCGGAACAAGCAACGCTCCTGCGACCTGCATCTCCTTAGCCTTATCATCAATACCCCGTCCATTGCGATATATCTTGCTGTAGTCCAGAGTAGTATGCACCAGGCTTCTCTGTATGCTTTGTCATATATCTTGAGTGTAGGGGGTCGAGCCTCCGGCGACGCGTTGTAGCTCAGACGCGCCAACATTATCGCGCGGCTTGCTGGCAACAAGGCCCGTGATCCTTGCCAAACAATTGATCAGACATCAGATACACTGGAACGCGACACAGACGGCTATCCTCGGCGACTTATCACCTTCCACAAAAACCGGAAAATGTCCCTCCAGACAATTCGAAAGCTAATGGCCAAGGCCGGCGCCGACTCCTGCATGGATGCACTGCCACCAGCGGATTCCCTGACCTGGATTGAAAATGCACTGGATGAGGCGGAATCCCCAAGTCTGTTGATCGGAAACGTAGGCAACCGCAACGTGCTGACTTATCTGCTGCTATCCGGCGGTGGTTGGGAGGTTCGCTACTGCCTCAGAACCATTGGCGATGACCGCGCGACCTCGACGCTGCCATCAATCACCGGAGATGAAGCCATGACGAAGCCTCTCATCGTTCCGTTCAAATACTTCACAGATGGAACGAAGAGCAAGAAGCGGATGCTTAGCATGATTATACGTTACTACTTCCTTTTGCAAGGTCATATAAGCAAAATCGATGCGTGGAACGATGACTTTAGTAGGCGGTTATCGTCTGTGCTGAGAAAGGTCTACGGGAATACCGATGGAGGCCATGGGACCTATAAGCACCCCCGAGAAACAGGCGAGACTGTGGAGGAAAGCTCAGAGCCGGAAGACATGGAAAGCCCGAATGAATTGTTGCCTACCAACCGGAATGGCGTGCTAAACGCGCCCGAGAGCAACGTCACATACGACACCCCACATGGTATGAGCTGGGACGGAAATCCAGACCTGCAACGACTATGGGCGTACCTCGCTGAGCGCGGCGCGTTGCGACTCTTGGAGAATATTCCCGATGCTCATGACATGGAATTCTTGGATCAGACGTACATACTAGAGGCCCAACCGAAGAAACTGTTTGTCGGGACCCATGCGAAGACAGAGCACAGAATTTATGCCTACATGGTACGAATAGCGCAGCGGGGTTTCCATGAGATCCGATTTTACCTGGAAAGCGCTCGTGGTACCTACGCGTCAATGTCCGCCGAAGCTACAGGGAAGCAGCGCATCTTGCACCCTTTCAGCAAAACTTACCCCAGAAGTACCGGTCCAAGCGAACCACCTGACAAAGCCAGGTTGACGCTCATGGTCAAGTGGTATTTCATCGCAGCTGGAATTGCTACGGACTGCGTTTTACACGAAACCAAGGCCTACCCCGAGCGTCTCCGCTGCGCACTGGAGTACATCTCTGATCAGATGGGCCCTAGCGCCTTCAAATCATCGGGTACCGTACCAATGGATGACAGTATAGCAGATGAGAGTAGCGAAAGCTCCTACACCCCAGAGAAGCAGAACACCCAGTCGACGCTGGCCAATGAACCCACGCCTAAAGCGCCTCGCTTCCCGCAGGGCGTTGCGCGTAAGTCGGCCCCTTCAATCGCACGTCGTACAATTCCTCATGCAACAACAACGCAAAAGTCGCTGCCGAAGACCTCGTTTTCCAAGTCTGCCAGCCCCGAAGCAGATGCAACACCCACAGCCCCGCTGCGCAACTCCAAGCGCTCAGCCGAAGACGAAGAGTTCGACGCCCTCACCAGGCTGGTCATGCAGCAAAACGCTCTGACGAAGGACCTCAACAATGTTGATCACGAATTGGAGGTTATGGATGCGCGCTTCGAGGCTTTCCAGGAGAAATGGAAACGAGAGCGCGCAGAGTTGGAGAAGAAGAGAGACGAGATCGAAGAACGGAGGGCTGAGGTGAGGAACATGTTCAAGAGGCGGAGGACGCTCGATGTGGAGAGTGACTAATAAGAGCGTGTGATGGGCGGTCACGTGTGCGAACCATGGTTGAGCTCTCAGAATAACGAGAACTCTGGTTAGTTATGCGAATTCCGGTATATAGGCGCTTGAATGCAGCCCCATACATTCTTGATACGAATTATCTTCCATCCTTGCTGCGTATTCTTCTTAACAACCCGCTAGCCTATTGCACATTCAGCTCGAATATCAGTCGCCATGAACCTGAATCAACTCCTCAACCCGAACACACCGCCGCAGCGGCTGCTGAAGTCTACATGTGTTTCAAAGAGCGCTTCCCTGCACTCTCAAAGCAAGACCGCTGCGTCGCAGCAGACGGCGAGCCCTCCAGTATGTCAAGTGGCTCCGCGAGTCACCCAAGATTGCCTGCCTCTCGACTCCGCGGTCAAGCCAGTAGCGTGCCCTACTGAAAACCGACCTGAAGTGACTGGAGAGCCTTATGCCCAACCCTCGCAGAAGACGACAGCGCATTGTGGTTCATGTAGGGCTTCTTCACCTGCAAAACTACCACATACTCTGAACTTGTCAACGGCAGTCGCACCTCGACTCGAGCAAACACCCATAAGAGACGTGAACACACCGCCTGTTGCCGCGTCTAGTGTTACTTCTACTGCCATCATCAAGAAAACAAGGAAAGCGGTCAAGCAGGCTCCAAAGCGTCGCAAGAAAGAAGAAAAGCCCGCTTCGGTCACCGCAGCACCGTCGCACGAATCGACAACTCTTCGCACTCTTCTTCCTCTACTACTACCCAAAGATGCCAACGTACCCAAGGCCAATCTAGCTACACCTTCCAAGCAGATTAGTTGCCCTGTAGCTCCAGGTCTAGACCTAGATGCTGGACCTCGTAAACTTATTCCAGAAGTACCGCAACATCCTCTGGACCTACCCGTTCCGGACGCAAACGAAGCGAAAAGCAAGAAGCGCAAACGGGCAGCACCCAAATGTGACAAAAGGCCAGACCCGGCCTCTACAGGTCTACACGCCCGGCGTAAATGTTTCGGAAAAACGGAGGTTGTGACAGTGGGTGGGTGGGTAGCGTTCAGGAGGGTAGTGGCGTAGGCGTAACCTTGGAAGGCAAGGATGGTGGAGCAAACGCTTCTCGCGGTGACGCAGAATTCATTCATCTCGCGGTATAGTGAACCCTTCGGGAGTTGTATTGATATCTTGCCTCCGTAAAGATAATAGTAATTCGAGGTTACCTCGACTCGCAGTCACCTCAGATGCGCCGGGCTCATCCACTCAATTATATAAAGATCTCACACCCTTCCCTCGATGACACTTCCATCTTCCAACTCCTACATCCGCTCCCTAACACCTAACACCGTCATGTCAGTTGTGCCGAGGCGAGCCCAAAAGGCCCGCGTGGTGGATAACAGCGACTCATCAAGCCAGGCATCCGAAGACAACAGCCCCCCACCCAAGATCGACCCCAAGGCCAACAGAATTCGTCTTCACTACGCTGCCGAGAAGCCAGACAGACCTAGCGCGGGAGTCAACGGCAGATATGGCATGTTCTCTCAGGTCGACCCACGTCTTCCACCGCCTGCGACTCCGAGCAAGACGGTCGCGAAGCGCAAGAGAGCCACCTTGGATAAGACGGGTAGTAACAAGAAGTCAGAGATGAGAGACATGTCAGGAGAGCGAGAGCAGAGTCCACTGTTCGAACCGGAGTCTGATGGACGGCAAGATGCAGACACTGTTATGCTGAGTCCGCCTTCGACGCCATCAGCCAACGTGCGCCTGCCAAGCCGCAAGAAGGGCAAGCTTACCCTCGGCCGCCGTGTTCACAAGCCCATTGTCATCGAGAGTAGTTCTTCAAGCTCTGACTCCGATTCCGACACTCAATCCAACATCGTCGTAGCCACACAAGATGACCCCACAGCTAACACCACTAAAGAGCTAATTGCCGGTTCCATCCTACCTGGAGATGTCTCAGTCGTTGATGAGTACATCAGCGTTCTCAAGGATAGGGCCTCTTGTTCTTCCGAGATTGCTAAGCATGAACAGAACATCGAGGCACTTACCGAAGAGGAAGCCGCAGTATCTCTCGCCATCGCCGGACTTGCTGACACAGAGGAAGAAGAGTTTGCCGCGATTGCGCAATCATGCGCTCGAGGCATCCAAGAGGATATGGCAGACCCGGACATAGCTGCTGATATGTCTGCTATCCATGCTGCCGTTAAGAAGCGCAACAAAGAAGCGGAGGTGGCTCGTCAAGCTGTACCGGAGGTGATGGCCGAGAGAAAGGAAGAGCTGGAGGCGCAAGCTTCGGAACTTCGTTACAAGCGAGAGGGTTTGATGGAGGAGAGGTCGTACTCCCAGTACGAGAAGTTGGATGAGAGGAAGAAAGAGTTGGAAAACCGGGGTGGCATGGCCATGGCATTTGAGCTGGGCAAGAGGTCGGTGAAATAAGAAGGTGCAAGGGGACCTCGGTGAACTCGCATAGTACGTCCTGTGTAAGCCTGCACTGCAAAGAGATGCTATGTCAGCTGCTCAACCATGGGCCTGACGAGGTGTTATCTGGCTGGGAGACTTCTCGACTCAGTGTAAGCTGAGATGACTCGGAGACTACATGTACCTATCAATTAGCAACATCTAGGACTCACACGGGCTTTTGCTTCAAGTAGACTCTGAACAATGAGATTTATGGGTGTACCAGTAAACTAGCAAACCGCCCCTTGAACCACGGAAACACGAGTTGAAACGCCTTATAACGCCAGCTAACGAATAAAAGTACAAACAAACAAAGATCGCGACACTCATTTAGAGTACGCCTAATACAAATCGTAAGACCACTAACCCTCGACCTCAGTCTCCGCCTCAGCCATGACCTGCTCGCCTTCATCCAGCATATCCAGCACCCTCTTCAAACCGCCAACCATGGCATTGGCCTGACCGACCAGCAACAGCTTCTCGGCATTTGCAGGCAAGCCGAGGTAAGTAGGCGGCTCGCGCTCGGGAAGGTCATTGACCCAGCCCATGAAGTCCTTCCAGCTAGTCGAGGTAGGTAGTTCGAGACCCTCGCTGTGCTCAGTATCCTTGACGATCTTGAAGTTGTCCTCAAAGGCGGCAGGCGTCATAGTGGCGTCGACGAGAGAAGCGAGAATGCGCCAGTCTTCTGCGTCGTCGATCTTGCCACCGTACATCTCTGTGATGAGGTAACGTAGCATCTCCCATGGAATCTTGGTAGGGGCGATATTAGATCGGCCCTGTGCGACGGTGTCGACCCATGTGTCGATGATGAAACTGCAGCATTCGTAGTCACTGTCATTGAATTCCCAGAAGCCCTTCCATCCAAGAGTGGGCGCGTAGCGGAGACGCTCTTGAATCACTGCGTGGAGGAAGGATAAGAGGAGGTAGACACGTGCCTTCTCCACCGGCGGCTTGGTGGCCTTCTCGGCCAACGAAGAGAGCGAGTCTTTCATGTTGGCACGGACTCCAGCAGGCTGCTCGTAGGACAGGACACGAGAAGCGCGAAGTAGGTTGACCGGAATCTTGGGGCTGGACTCCATTGACAGGAAGAGACGGAAGTCGGGGTTGGGCTTGAGAGCTTCAAGACGCTTCTCAAGCGATTGCAACCATTGTGGAGCGAGATGGACGTTCTTGACAAGTACCCAGTTGCCTGTAGTGGCGGCGTTAGCGATGGCTTTGTCGGCCGATGCGGCACCTTCGTTGGAACCCATGGCAATGTTTGTGCAGCTGACTTGCTCCCTCTCTACGAGATTGTCGACCTTGTAACTTGCATCGAATCCAGGACTGGAGCTGAGAGCCACCGGGGTTACTGCATTGACTTGCTTCACAATATCGCCCAGATCACCGCTGGCATCTAGGATGCCCTTGCCGAACACCTCAGTGACAAAGCGCTCGACAGCGGGTACGAAGCGATCCACACGGAATAGTTTGACCAAGACGAGAGCTCGTAGTAGCTTGTCGAACTTGGTAAGATCTTCTGGCCAAGCCTGCGGTACATGTCGCTCTCCCATCTCTTCATTGAGGAAAGCATCCCAAGCGCTGTCTTCAATCTTGGGCAGCTCTTCCTTAAACATCGGGATCTTGCTGGCACGCTCCATGGCCTCCTCTTTGCGCTCTGTCTCGGTTGACACATCGATACCCTTCAGGTCGGGGTCAAGGATCTGATCGATGTGTGCCTTGTCCATCTTGTAGGGCGCCGCTTGCACGAGCAGCATAGCAAACGTAACACGGTCCTTCTGGAGTAAGGAGAGCGAAGTGCGGCGGTATGCGTCAACGAATAGCTCGGTAACGATCTGCTCAATACGGGCAGCATGACCAGTGATGTTGGAGTTGCGAATCTTGCGCAGCACAGTCTCAAAGATCTGAGTAAAGTACTGGAGCGAGAACTGGTAAAAATGGTTGAGATGGTGCAGTTGCTCCAACACAGCGAAGATAGCTGAGCAGGAACGAGCGACAACAGTGTACTCCTTTGTGATGTTCTCGACCTCTGTCATAACGCCAGCGGTCTCGGAGACCTTGTCCGAAATTTCCTTGGCCTCCTTCTTGAGCGTCTCGAGCGTTTCGATGACGCGGTCGTCGTCCAGAATGTTACCGCGCGACTCGTTGAGAGCTTGAAGCAGTCGCTTCTCAAGCTGACGAAGATGGACTGCGAACTCTCCTTGCATCTTGATGAGGTTGGATCGGCGCTCATCAACATCAGGTCGCTCGGACTTGAGGACTTCGTTCAGTGTCTGTGTCTGCAAGCTGCTCTGCGTTACAGTAAAGTTGACGAACGTGGTACGACTGCAGATGTCAGGAGCGAAGTTGGCGGAAGGATCGCGTGTTGAAAGGTAGAGGCGGAAAGAGGGCGAAAAGTCGATCTCCTGCTTGCCGAGTTGAATGAGCACACGACCTCCAGTCTTCTGGTACTCCTTGTTGAGAACGTGGTTGAGGATGGGGTCCAGATGTTCGGCATCCTGGATCAATATTGGGTTACCGAAACGCAAAGAACTCTCAAGCTGCTTGGTGAATGAATCATCCAAGAAGCTAGTCACCGTGAGACGGCGGTCCTTGCATTCGTTCTGCAAGAACTCTGTTGTTCTGCCAGAAGGATCGATGATAAGCGGGTAGCGGTTGAACCTCTGCAGGATGATGGCGTTCTCGGTGCACAGGTCGTCGACCGGCAGACCATTGTGTTGCCAGTTCAGGCGGTCATCAGCAGTCGAGAGATATTCCGTGAATGGATTTGTTGGCTTGAAGCTGATTCCGGAGTGTTTGAGGTGATCGTACCAGTCCTCTGTAAGCGCTTTCCTGTACTGTTGGTCGTAGTAACCGGCATAAGCGATGAACGCAGCTGCAACCAAGACGTCACCAACGATGGTGTCGATCTGAGAATCGAAAGACTTGCTGCTCTCCTCCCATCGAACGCGTTCAGAGGACAAGCTGTCGAGAAGGCGGACACTGCGGTCGACCTTGAACTGAACGGTCGCCATCTCCGTCTTGATGGCCTGAGTTTCACTGATCAAAGCCGCGTACTCAGTCTTGTATCGGCCAATGCTCTCCTCGAGGTTCTGAATGAGGACCTGGGTTTCCTTGGCGCCCTCCTCTGTCTTCTGAAGCTCAACTTGCAGGTTCTCGACTTCGGCACGTAGGGGACCAACGCGGTCAAGGATGTCGGAGTAGGTAACTTGAGCAGATACCCATTGTACAAGAGGACCGCAAGCCTTGGAAGCGCGATTGACCTTCTCGAAAGTGAAGTCTTCTTGGGAAAGATATTCCTTCTGCATCTTCCTGCGGTGGCCTGCAGTCATCTGCCTCTCGTTGTCGAACTGTACGATACTGGCGATGAAGTCGTCACGCCTGACGATGGAAACGATAGTCTTCCAGCTGTCGGGCTTGTGTCCAAGAATCGTGCAGACGGCTTCCAAAGCGAGCTTGACACCGGCAGGAGGATTCTGCATAGATCGGACTTCGGTAAGATGCTGTCGCTTGATGTTCTGCACACTCTTCTGTGCCTCCGCCACAGCCGGCTCGGCAGCCGCCAAATCGTGTTCTACCACCTCTTGTCGCTTCTGAATCTCCTCTTTGTCCTTCGCAAGCTGAGCTTGCATCTTGATCGATCCAGCCTTCTTCTGTTCCGCCTCGTTCTGGTCCGCAATCATACGTTGCAGCTTTTCGTTCGCTTCTGCATCCTTCTTAGTGAGCTGCGTCTGCTTCTGTGCAAGGCTTGCTCGCAGTTCCTTGACCTTGTCGAATGTCTCGCGCAGCTTCTCAAGACCGACGTTGAGATGGCGCTGCTGCTCCTCGAGATCTTCGCGCTTTTCGTTGTAAAGCTTGACGTACTGCGCAACGAAGTCCAAGAAGTGACGTGGGGTAAGGTACATCTTCCGGTTTTGTGTCTTCTGTAACTTCGCGTTCTTGCTGCGTAGCGAGTGGTGTACAGCGACCATGGCATTGACCACACTTTCGCGGTGGGAAGGCGGGAGGGTGAGTCCGCGGTAAGCAACGGGAATGCTATCCGGTGCAACGTAGTTGGCGCGGTCGAGATCAACAGATTGTGTGAGCTCTGAGCTGACTTGGTAAAGAGCCTGGTCTGACCAGTCTCCGAACCAGTTGAGCACGCAACGGTTGAAAAGAGCAGGACTGGTGGCTGCCTTCGACGAAAGACCCTCTTCGGGTGGGTTCATGGTGAACACAACATGAAGGTTCTTGACAATTTGCTCCGTAAACCACTTGTATAGCTCTTCCTGTGAGTCGAGAATGATGCCTTGTCGCTGCGCACCCTCCTTGATGGCAGTAAGCAAAGAAGCGTACTCATCACCTTCGAACAGACCAGGAACCTCCGCGTTGGCCAGGAGGGTGTTCATGCGCTCGAGGAAACCGGAGTCAAGAACATTGGCTTCGTCCATGATGAAGCAGATCTTTTCGCCCTTGCAGCCGCATCGTCGAAGCACGGTACGCAAGTCTTCGTCAAAGTCTTCGCCTGAGTACTTTCCGTGGACCTTGATTTGGTAGACGCTCAGACCGTTCATCCAGGCCACGAAGCGAGACAGGGTTGTCTTTCCCGATCCGCTGACACCGATGAGAATGAGATGGCCCTGTGGTTGACGGAAGACACGATCGATACGAAGTACATGCTCGAGCACGTCGTTGAATAGGATGAGTGGCACATCCACTTCTTCTTCGCAGAAGGTACGGAGACGAGCCTTGACGAACTCGCGAAGCTGCTCACGCTCAACCGGCACGTAGTTCTTGGACAGCCAGTTGGAGAAGAGGATGGGGCCACCAAGAGCCTTCTCTTCGTCGATAGTAGGGAAGTGTTCAGCCGCAATACGGTGGACGCACTCTTCAGTCCATTGCCTCTCTTCCTCTGCGATAAGACGATCCTGGAACAGGCGGAGTGCCTCGTGTGCCCAGATACGAACGAGGCCTTCGATCGGCAAAGTCTCAAGTGGTCGTAG